ATGGATATACCAATTCTTTATAGTCTCTTTATGAATGTTATCATCCAAACAGTTTATTAATCCCACAATCAACATTCAGTAGAAGAAGTTATTCTATGAAAACTCCAGGGAGATTCACTCAAAATTAAGCTGTTGGATAACTCTAAACTAATGCAAGTAAAAATCTCAGTCATTTTGGGATTGTCTTCTGCTTTATGCCATTGGTGGCTTGTCCTGCATACTAATGTTCTTTACTCTTGAGCATTGAAATACTTAATTTGCTATGGTAACGCCAGAATTATTTATACCAACTGAAAATTGGCATGGTAAATTTAGAAGAGTATTTAGTTTCAGAAGCTGGTTCTGCCTCTCTTGCTTGCTATGTGAGGCCCTGCACAAATATGTAGCTTTCTCTGGTGAGGCAAATTGGTCCTACCTTCTTCCTGGAAAAGGTAGAACTTATGATGCTACCTAACTCTGACTCCAAATGTGAATAATTCTGCAAATTATTGGTCCTGTTTAGTGGACATCTTTGAATGCAAAAGCAAATAAGTAAGCAAATAAGTAAGTAAAATACATAGTTGACATTATGGAAGGGCATTGGAAATATGAAGAGCACCAGGGATCCCTGGGTGGCACAGCGATTTGGCGCCTGCCTTTGGCCCAGGGCGCGATCCTGGAGACCTGGGATCGAATCCCACGTCGGACTCCCGGTGCATGGAGCCTGTTTCTCCCTCTGCCTATGTCTCTGCCTCTCTCTCTCTCTCTCTGTGTGTGACTATCATAAATAAATTTAAAAAAATTTAAAAAAAAAAAGAGCACCAAGTGAAGAAGCACAAAGCATTAGCTTGGCTTTGCTGGTCAAGCCCTTTCCTGTGGAGTCTCAGTTTTCCATTTACAAATTCATATTGGGCTGTATGACCTATTCATTTGGGTACTTTCTGAAATGAGGATGTATCCTTGGTCTCAACAATATGGAAGCAATCAATAGCTCAGAAAGGTGATTTTCTTCACCCCATAATGTACCACTTCCCTGTGATATCTAAATATTTATTGATTCCTAGACCCAGGACTAATTCTCATCCTTAGATTTTCTATTAAGCTAATGATTAAGTAATTTGATTTGAGTTTGATAGGCAAATACCAACAGCTCCAATTTATTTTTAATTCCTAAACCCCCTAGTGACTGGCAGTTCTAAATAAACAGCATTAATAAATCATCAACCTGTAACTGAAGAGTAGATTCTTTCAGGAACATTTACCAGTTGCAGACCATGGGAAGTCTCAGAGGAATATTTGTGATTCTCACAGTTACAGTGGGACACAAGAGCAGCCATTTGAGACAACTTGGCTAATGACTAAGAAAAAGGAAACATAAACTACAGCAAAAAGAACTTTATGGATTGATAACTGGTGCTTTCTTAAATGCAATAAACATGCAAAAAAGAGAAAAACTACTTAATGTTCTGGTTTCTTAATAAATATTTGATGGAGTGTAACAAAAGATCGTTTGTAAATGCTATCTGAATGGGGAAATTGAATGCATTCTTCCCTCCCACTTCGGCACCAGGTTTCAGATGAGCTTGGAAAGGTCACCCACGTAATTATTACAGTAACTGGTTCAAGGCACAGTTTTGAGCACAGTTGATCTAATTGTGTGTTAATGGCTACAAAAGCAAGATAAGGAACATGTAAAGTAAAAAAAACTAAAATATCTGCCTATGACACTATTAGCTTGTAGGATTGTCATAGCAGATAAACTAAATTTGCTTTATGGCATATGGCTTTTTCATTACAGAATAACCGCTGTTTGCCGTTGTACCCAGGGTCATTTAAGCATCAATGACCAAGTTTTGCTCCTTTATTGTTGGTAGCCATGTGACATATCTAGTGATCTTTTTGGGGTCTGCAAAAGGTCACATGGTAAAATGAAATCAGTCAGAAAACCATAGCTAATGTGATATGGTCAGAATTTTCAGGGCCAAGACATGTGAAAGGCGTCTAGAGACTTCTGTCTTACCAAATTAAGGCAGTAACATACTTCCTATTACAAAAGATTGGCCATTCTCATACCTGAATTAAATTCATTAAATATAGTAGCACCTACTGCATGTAAAAATACTCTAGGGATCAAAAAATTGTAAAGAAGTAAAAGAGGACAGATATACACAGCTGACCCAAGGGGGCACTCTGACCAGTGAAACATGAGTGGTCATATAGTTCCAAAGGTAAAAGATCTCAAGTAGAGAAGGCAGGACTTAGCAGAGAAGTGGCTTTTGCCCTAAAATGTGAAGACTAACTAGGATTGTGAGGGCAGGATATTTTAGACTGACAGAACTGAGTCACAGGGCCAGAGAAGTAGAAAAATACCTGTGGATGAGGTATAGAAAGAAGTGTGGTTAAAAGATTGAGGTAAGTTTGGGGGCACCTGGGTGGTTCAGTCAGTTAAGCGTCTGCCTTTAGCTTAGGCTACGATCTTCCAGTACTGGGATCAAACCTCCCATCAAGCTCTCTGCTCAGCGGGGCGTCTGCTTCTCCCTCACCCTCTGCCCCTCCCTTACTCATACTTTCTCATTCCCTCTCTCTTTCTTTCTCCCTCTAAATAAATAAATAAAAGTGTTGAAAAAAAAAGAGGTAGACATAAGTTGGAAAATGTAAAGTGGAACCTGTGTCAGTTCCACCCTTCTTACTCTGTTTTGTGTTGTAAGGGCTGATGAGGAACACCAGATGGGAACCTCTGAGCTTCCAATTTTAAGTAATTCCAGCTTTTCTTGTTTTTCCCCAGAGCCCTAAAGATAATAGCTGCTTTCTAAGTTACTAACTCTCCAAACTTTAAAGTTCTCATTTTACTCCATATTACCTAGTTAATAAGTTAAATAAAGTGGACTTAAGAACTGAGCACAAACAGTTGAAAATATTATCAACTTTCAATTACATTTAGAGAAGGTCTTTGAAATGAAATATTTTCTAGGGCCCTAAGGGATCCCTTACTTGAATTTCCCTTTGACAGATAGTCTTATCTCTCATTTTCTTTCAAGAGTATTGTGTTCAGTGTTTAAAGCAGATCTGGTAAACATCAGACATCTCTTCTCCCCTAACTAAAGTCTCTGGGCTGAATGCTGAACAAGAAAAGAAAAGGCTCTTCATTTCTATTTCCTGCATATACCACTTTAAAATGTTATATAATAATGTAGTTGACAAAAGGAAGCTATTTAAGGCTGCCTAGCTTCTACTCTTAATATTTATCCTGAGAAGGTAGTTGAATGGTCAGTAAAAGAGGATGTCTACAATTTTCATTTCCAACCCTGACCTGGACCGTTTCTCCCTTTTCAGGACACATTACATCTAGCTTATTGGATATTATATCCTTAGATAAGTATAGGGGAAGAGCCTCCACTACTTCTGCTAGTAACTCATTCTCCATGTTAGTGCAAATTCTGGCATTTAAGAATTATTTAACTGCAGGATAGAAGAAGACCTTGGCATCAAGCCAAAACACATTATTTTTGTATTTATCAGAACTTTTAGCTGATTACTCAGGACATTTTCAGACATATTTGACACCACAATATGGGAAAATGGTGAAAAATAAGACTTTTAAGTTATGATTTAATCATGTGCACTTAATATCTTTGGGTTTAGAAGGCTTCCTCAATATTAACTCAAGTACCTCCTAGATGAATTTTAAGTTCTTAAAATATATATCTTATAGGCATATTTTGCTTAAAAATGGACTACATGACTATTTTGTTTTTAGTCTATTATGATCATGCTTCTACTTAGATTGTTCTTTTTAAGATTTATTTATTTATTTTAGAGAAAGAGCATGAGCAGGAGAGGCAGAGAGAGAGACAATCTCAAGCACACTCCATGCTGAGTGTGAAGCCCAATGCAGGCCTCAATCTCACTACCCTGAGATCACAACCTAAGCAGAAACCAAGAGTTGGAAGTAACACTGCTTAATCCAGGCACTCCACGTTTACTTAGGTTTAAATAGATTTGCACATGCATGTTATTCCAAGCAGTTTTGAGATTTAAAAAAAAATGCTGTTTAAATATGTTTATGCCCTAAGCCTATTCTTACTTGCTGAATTTTTCATATTTACTAATATTTTCCTTACCTGTAAGCGAAACTTACTTTAAGCATATTTATATAGCATGTTTTATCTCCAAGTGCTTTATAGCTAGGTTGTGGGAGCTAGCTCACTACAACTGAAGTTAAATGATTAGTAACTTTGATAGAGATGCATTTATGCAAATTATAATTATAGAGTCTAGAAAGGACCCTGAGGTCTTATCACCCTCAAAACAAAACAACAACACCCTGTTTAAATCATAATACTCTAATCAAATATAATCAAAATCTCACTCCTGCATCTACACTCAATACTCATAAACATCATTGACAAGTGATTATATATCATAGAATTTAAGCCCTCAGAAATAGAATCATTAAGTATAGCAGTCATTATAGTGTGATATAAATCATCTCTCTGATTTGGGGAATGATTACATGCTGTACATATCGACAGCTGGTGCTATCATGTTAGCATTCTTTTAGGGGATTTTAAAGTAATCAGTTGGTTCACTGCAACTATTATCTTTATGATTTTAATACTGTTGTCTCACTATATCTTATCAGAATCTATACGCTTTGCATGAGGAGCAGCTAGCACCCTATCTTTTTATCCACTTTTTATTTATATCATTGCTGAATGAAATGTAATAATGACATTGGAAATTTAAGACAGGTTGGCAAATATGTAAAACTCTTATTTAAAGAACTTTCCTTTATGTTAAAATGGTAAAACTATATACATTATTATTCATAGAAATCACTACAAAGATTATTATAATTGGTTACTCCGTCAGTTCCCATTTGACCACCCTCTAGTTTTTTAATGAATAGCCACCAAGGAGCTTCAGGGAAAATGAAATCAAGCAAAGCAGGTAATCCAAAAATAATATATGCCATATTTTAATAAACATTTGTATCTAATTATGGAAGAATATGCACTTACTTGCCAAGTGCAAAGCATTCCATCTTAACAGTTGTTCCCTTAGCAGCTGTAACCGTGAAAGGAAAATGGACCTCGATTTTCGGCTCATACTCTCCCATCACACCTGGGAAATAAAGAACATTCTTTAAGCATAGAATGAATGTCACGGTTTTCTTCCAATCCTGGAAATGACACATTGTGGTTTGGTAGTTAATGTCTATTTGATGACTGCTAAGTTTTTGATGCACTAAAGTAAGTATACTTAGACTCAATCTGAAATCTAGCCTTCCTTTAAGGATTAGATTGCATGTATGTTCAGTACCATTTTAAATAATAATTACTGAAAATGTTAGTCAACACTGCTAGTTTCATTACAGATTATATCCCAGGGGAAACAAATAAATATGAACATTTCCCATGGTAAATAATTGTGTTTTCTTTCTAAAGAAGTAAAAACTTTCTGTATCATTGTCATATGAATTAATATTTATTCATAAGTCAAGATACATTTATTAAATATCTATAATATTCAAACATTTTGTTGGGCATTATGGGAGTTATAAGGATAAATCACCCATTAACTGTGCTCTCAAGCACTCAGCAAATGTGTTCTTAGAGAAAGAAACAACATATGCTCAAAATTGTAAATGAAGATAGGAAGTGATGAGCGCCATGAACAAGATATTCCTAAAGTATTCTGTACATTTGAGGCACTTACAGAAATAGTGAGGATTTGAATAAGGAGGAAAAAAAGAGAAAAAGTAAATGAAGCTGTAAGAATAAAGACAAAATGAGAGGAAACCATTAGAAATAGGAATATCAACTTTTCTGTCATATGGGTATGTGAAGAGAAATAATACTAGGCAAGTTTGGAAATATAAATGGCGTACAAAAAACAGAGGGACTTGATTATAAGAGTAAGACATTCAGACTTTAATCTGTAAATAATTTGGAACACTGAAGTTTTGAACAGGGGACTAGTATTTTCCTGAGATGTATATATTGAAATTGAAGCAGAGACCAGTAAATCAATTACATTTTTTCAATAATGCAAAGTAGAAGGAATAAAAGCCCAGATTTGAATTATGGTGGTAAAAGAGAAGAAAAGGTACTAGATTTTTTAAAAAAGGAAAAGAAAACAAGGAATATTTGAAATTGGCATACAATGGGGGGTTCTGGGGACAAGGGTATGGGCCTCTTCAATAATGATGTGAAGGTTTCTAGCTCTGGGTGCTGGGTGATGTGAACGAAGGGAAAAAGAACACATCTACAGTAGAAAAGCTGATGACTTTCATTTTAGGAGTACTGAGTTTGATATCTATAAGATAACCAGAGAAAGAATCTGACCAGAAAGCACAATGAGATGATGAAGCTCTAAATGCTTTCTGCACAGCTGATAGACTGTGTCCTCATTTAGAGGTGGCAGCTGAAGCTATGAGATTGGATAGGGCTTTCACCTATCAAAAGACTTAGCCGAGGCCTGGTGAATTCCAATGCTAGTTCCCTCACTAGGTTGCCAGGAGCTAATTTCCTCCCCTAAATGTTAGGAGATTGCTGTGTATAAAGTACCACAGAGGACACGGATGTAATTTAGCACAGATGTTTCTCTGAGCAGCTTGTGTGTGTTTGGGGATGTCTATGCTTATGGGCGTATGTGCATGTTTAGATAAGGTCTGTGCGTAATCCACATATATGACCTTCTTATATATGTGTGTGAGATGAGAAAGGAGAGCAGGGGAAGAAATCTAGATACAGTTAGTAAAATGATATAAGATGTAAAGGAAAGATGCACTGGATATTCAAAGGGAGGAAAGGTGACCTCTGGCAAAGAAAACCTTTATGTGTTCATTTGTTATCTATCTACCTACCTACCTCCCCACCTACCTATCTACTATTAATTTGATATGCGCCTTGAGGAATGAATGTGGCCAACTTTAGGTGGAAAGTGTTTAAGTTCACGGAGAACAGGAAGATTATATTTGTTTTTTTGTTTTTGTTTTTGTTTTTGTTTTGCAAAACAATCTAGACAAAATATCGCTGATATTTGCATCAGAGAGATTGAGATTCTGGACATGGTTCTGCTAATGATTTAGACTGTTCTTTTCAGATAAGTCAGTGACTTCTGTTTTGCATTTTTCTAATCTATTTTCCTCTTCTACTTCTTTTATATCGTCCTTCATACTTTCCAACTTCTTTTATTTCCTCACATTTTCTTTTTTTCCTGTGTTTTCCCCTAATAGCAGGATTTGGCCTGCTAGTGATATCTGGTTGAGTGTATTCAAAGATGAGAAGTTTATCTTCAAAAACTTCTTGCTTGTAAGCCCTCTTATGAGGACTCATCTTGTTCAGTGTCTACCTTTGATTTGTCCACCTGAAGAAGTCCCTAAATTTAGCTTTGTTGATCTCCCTATCCACACTTAACATTGATTCAGTACTATTCTTATTCTATGTCTGTTAATCTGATGATTTAGTAATACATGATTTATCATGGTCCTTATTAAACTTAAAACCCTTACTAGCATAGTTTCCTGTGAGTGCTAGAAATTGCTGAGCACTGTAGAACGTTGTAGAGGCAGCAAAATTAAGGCTGAATTTAGAAAATATTTCTATATAGTAATTTTAGTAAATTGTTTTAAAAAGTTCAGAAAAAAAGCAACCTGAATCTCCAAAGCTTCAATAACCTGTTTTAGTTTCTTCTCATCTCATAAATGAAAATTTCCTTTAGAATCCACTTTTATACTAACATTTATGTATTTTTTTAAAGGAAAATAATACAGCCCTTCAATATCTGGATCCGTCTCTTAATAATACCAAAGTATTACTGATATTATTGGCTAAGAAAAGTTAAACCCATGTATTGTCTCTCTTCTCTTTCACATAGTATTTGTGAGCTGCAAACTAGTTCTTTTACAGTTTTCATACTTAACAATGACTCAAAGGATAAGCATTCCTGGGAGTATTTGGGAGGTGATTTTGGCCAGGTAGGGCCTTCTAGTGTTTCTCAAATTATTCCTATACATCCAAAGACATTGTTAAGCCTTACTCCAGGACCCAACCAGTTTGCTAGTATTTCAACTAGATATTAAAAATAAAATTAAAATATTTGAGTAAGAGGCTTCAAATGATATTATCTAATTTGAGCTGCATTGTAAGAAATAATTGGTTCTTTTACATTTTACCTTGATAGTGATGCATTACGAACAGATGAGAAAGCTCTTTAGATATGTCTTGTTCCTTAACAATTGAAATAGTCAGCAATCTACATTGCTCTATATTTTGTGGGATAATTACGTTCTGACTAAAGTCCACCTTAGGTAATATAATCCCCCCCCTTTTCTTTTTAAGATGAGAGAGTTAAAAGTCAAAGAGTTAAAAGTCAAAACTGGCACAAGGTCCTATGGAATGCTGTTGGTGGAAATGAGGCAAAAATAGGAATTTTCTGATCTTGGGTCACTAACAGCTATTTTCTTGACTTCACTCTGTTTGAGGAATTTCAATCATAGAGTATAACAGACCAGGTATTCCACACATACTACAAAAATCACTGACTGTCTGCCATGAATACTTGGTTTATTTCAGCTGCAATCGTTAATAGTTCAAGTTACATGTGTCTAAGCTTGTAATTTCTTTTATTGGGTAGGGTCTGATGATAAAAGGAAAGAGAAACAGTCTTATAAGGCACACAGTTGTGAGGCTTATCTCTTTAGTGAAGATAGTTCATTTTTATTTCAATTATTTATTTTTGTCTCCCAGGAGACACTGCATTGTGTCTTCATCTCTTTCCCCAAACCTGTCTTTCCTGGGATAGTAGGCTGCCCTATATTGGAATTGGATGCCAATAGAAGATGACCCCAAATTACCCTAACTCCTAATAAACAGAAGTTCTCCAGCTGAAAGAACATTATTCTCCTCCTATGTCTTCATGGTCATTGATTTTCTTATTTATTCAAATTACTTACAAACAGGGTGCTTTTTCCTAAGTAGAATGTAATTTAGAGATCTGTTTCTCCAAGTGGATTGCAGAATAGAGAGACAATGACATCCAAAAAATCTGGAAAACTTACAAAAATGTCAGTCTGCAGGATTCAACTCGAGGCTAGTGATAAATACTCATTGAAGATGGATCTACACCGTCTGTATTTTAATGGTACTTGAGTGTTAATAGATGTTTCATTTGTAATTAATTTTTTACTGTCTTTAGCAATCTGAATATAAATATATAATCATTGCACTATGTAAGCCCTCTGTTAAGGAAATAAAAGCCCAAATAAATAACATCATCAACAACAATAATAAACAGTAATAACAACAACAATAACGATAATGACAAAGATGAGAGAAGGAAGAAAGTAAATGAATAAATAGTTCACACTATGCCCCTTAACATTGTGCTATGTGTGAGATATATCACTACACTTGTCTTTTTGGGACATATTGGATATCAACTTGTGATTTGTAGATAAGTGATGCAAATCCTAGCTCCAGCCCTGCCTCTATTGAAACGGTGAAGGAATCACAGAACTGCTCTGGATGCATTTTATCATGTACAATGAGAATGCTAATATATTATGGAGAGCTTAGAAATCTAAATATTGCACATTAATATATTCTTCTTATTTACAAATAAATTGCAAGTTATGATCTTTGGAAATGTTAATCATTTAGAAAAGTGTCCAGATGCCTTCTTTTCAATCCCAAAATAAGGACCTGATAAGAAACAATTTCACAAGTCCAGATAGACTACATGTTTTCTCACCTCAAAAGGTGTATATTACTCTGACTCATAGTTTCTCAAGATGAGTCATTGTTATGTAAATAAAGAAATTGAATGATCTCCTGACAAGAAAAAATAAATAACTTGTGTTATCTTCAGATAAATGTACCTTTATGAATAGTATTTATCTAAGGAGGTTGAGAAGAACTAGAGGGGTTTATTGTTAAAAGATGTTTTTCATCACTAATATATATATTCTGAAAATCAGAGAAACCAATATTTTTTCCCCTTTCCCAAACATCAAGAAAAAAATTGATCAAGGCACTGCCTTAGACTGTAATTACTTTCTTCTGATTACTGAATTTTAAGACAATTTTCTTCTCCTGTTCTTAACACTGTGATTTAGGGAA